TATAAATATATATAGATAGATAGATAGATAGATAGATAAAGAGAGAGAGAGAGAGAGAGAGAGAGAGAGAGAGAGAGAGAGAGAGAGAGAGAGAGAGAGAGAGAGAGAGAGAGAGAAGGGCGACGGCGGCTATAGCTGCCAAGCCCGGGAAGAAGACCAACATCAAGAAAGGAGAAGGAAGAGACGCAGACAGAAAGAAGAGGGAAGTTGACGAAGAGGGAGGTGAAGTCAGTCATAGCCGAGGTGAAGAAGATGGAAGGTTTGAAGAAGAAGAAGGTCTGCCATAGTCGGGAGATTGAAAGGTTGACCAGGGGAGTTGACCAATGTTGACCAACATTGACCAAGGTTGACTAAGAGTGTTGACCAGGAGTTGACTAAGAGTGTTGACCAGGAGTTGACTGAAGTTGACCACGACGTTGACCAGGAGTGTTGACCGGCGAGTTGACCAAGACCGTTGACCGGAGCGTTTGAGTGATGAAATGGTTTCACCCAGTAGACCCGACATTTGCAGACACAGAGATTCGATCCCTGGACCTGTGCCCAAACCCTGTACATTGACCATGTGTGCTGAGTGAGATTCGATCCCTAGACCTACCCTGTACCTTGTACATTGACCCTGTGTGCTGAGTGAGATTCGATCCCTAGACCTACCCCGTACCCTGTACATAGGCCCAGCGATCTGTGTGAAACTCAATCCCTAGGTCTGTAGATTAGGAGTTAGGTCTGTTACCGTCAGGCTAAGGAAGGTCTGTTCTAGAAGTCTCTATCTGAGTCTACTGAGGCCTAGAGTCTGTCTGTAAGTCTGTAGGCTCTAGAAGGTCGTAGGTCCCTGTAGGCCAGTCCAATCAGCAAGTATCGGGGGTAGGGGCTGCACGTGGGGAAGGTTCTGGACCAAGCTGCGGGTTTCACACGTTTTGGCCAGAAGGCCAAACGTCTGGAAGCTTCCTTGGGCCACACGTTTTGGCCCAGGCCTACACGTTTTGAGGCAGGCCCGGCAGCGTCCAGCCATTGATTCATTCGCCCGTGTGCGATGGGGAAGAGCTGCCTTGGTATCTTGTGCGTGGAGGACTGCAGGTGCCCGAAGAAGAAGTGGGCTGTGAGGAAGACAGCGGCCATAGCGAACCAGCGAGGGAGACACCGGCGGCCATAGCTAGGAGGAGGAAGACGACGGCAGCCATAGCCGCCCAGCTGTTGGTGTAGACAGGGTGTACAGAGTGTGTGTGTTTGTGCAGCGTGGACATTCAGGGTTGATCCTCGTACGTGCGTGCATGAGGGAGAGAGAGGCTGGTTGTACAGTTGTTCTGAACAGAGTTTAAGTGCAAGTTCGTTGTTGATTCTGAGTTGACGAGTTTGGTTTGCCATCAGTTCTCATGTCTGCATGTTGTGAGCAAGTCTGAAGTCGAGTCCGATTGTAGTGAAGAATATAGTGTAGTTAAAAAAATTGCAAAGATATAATAGTCGAACTGAATGGCCCCCAGTAATTCAGAATTTCTTTATGTCATTCACTGGATTCGAGCTTGGGTCTGTACCTCAGCAGTTCATGAGTGTACCAACGAGATAGGCCCGTCGGTGAAAACCCTTCCTCCACAGTCGATAAAAAATGGACCAGCACCGATAGCTGCCAGTTCTGCGAATTTGGTAACTGGCAACCAGTCGGGAGCATCTTTTACTGTTTTCTTTTTGCAGTATCAAACTGGTCTCCGTCCAAAGCTGCGGCGGCCTGTTATTCCTGCAAATCGCAAACTCGAATTCCTTCGTCGCGTAGTTGTCTTAATAAATCAAAGTAAAAAAAAAACAAAAAAACAAAAAACAGTGTTTTCTCAGAAATTGCAGGAATCTCAGACAGTGATATGTGAGGGTCATTGCAAACGCCTCTTTATAACTCACCTGACAAATGTTCGGTCAAAAATAAGGCTAAGCTCCGTGCAGTTCATTCTCCCAGGCATTTCATCAGGCCTGCATATTGATTCGCTGAGACTGTAGTTCCTATGGCATTCATAATTGTCGTCTTCTTGGTAACCACATGCCAAGCGAGAAAGACGCTTGCCATCCTTACAATCCTGCAACACATCTAGAGCAGAAAGATCAATGAAGCTAGTCAATCGTTTGAGCAATAGAGAGGCCAAACGTGCAAATATTATGTCCTCTTCAGGTCTTCCGTCAATTGCCTGAGCGTTTGTGCTATTGACGATTACTGATTGTGCCTCCTGACTGAGCAACTTCTTCTTCCTTTTTTTTTTCTTTTTCTGTTTTTTGTTTCTTTGAAACATCGTGCTGCTTTCGGGCATGACCTTGGTGTAGGGGGGGTACTGATAAGAGAAGACACCCTTTCTACAGGTTTCCGCTTATGGGTGGCTCCGTTCCATCGGTGGGGAGCTGCACATGCTGGAAATTGGGTCCAGCGTTCCTTTACATCTTTAACATGGAGCACAACTTCTCAGTTGCCCACTTCCTCCTAAGTTCACATTCCTTTAACCTGATTAGGGTGTCCATGTTGGATCCCGTACGCACGTACAACTCCATATACCATGGAATATGAAAACACTGAGAGTTCCACATCCCTTCCCCTAAGTCTTGCAAATTATATTGTTGATGTACTCGAGTGCACACTTTGGAGTATGGACACATTAGCATTCTTGGGTGGGACCAGAGGTCTCTGAGTGTGATGTTGGGATTTGACCTCTCTCAATAGAATTAGTCCCATATCTTTGAAGTTTGAAGTACTTGCAGGACCTCATGACAGGTTTTTTTTTTTTTGAAGTTGGACCGAGCTTACTAGCGATGGTGCAAGAAGCCACCTCGGGAGCTGTACCTGCTGGAAACCGGGTCCAGCGTCCTGTAAACATCATTGCAAATAGTGCATAAGCAAAAAAGGAGGACCAGGATTGCCTCTTCAGTCTCCTTTGGGGATGACAGGAGAGTTGTTATGTGAGAGGAAAGGCAAAGTAGGGGGTATGCTTGACAGAGCACCAATCTTTGCGGAGGGGCTTCTTTGGGGGAACAGCAATGTGCACATATGAGGTAAGAGAACTGTCATTGGGTAAAATGCCAAGACAAAATTCAGATACGATTCTTATCTTTTTATCCTTTTTTAATTATAAAAAGGTGCAAGGAGCCTGCCTGCGAGACACCCAATTCATAACCGACACAAACTCCTTTGATCAGCGATTCAGCATGCATGAGATAATCAACAGAGCAGAACTGACAAGGCAAATCACATGAACACAAAAACACATGCCACTGAAGTCTGGTGATATAGAAAGCCATCTTCTGTCCTTCAACCAATCAATACAACAACGAAGGAGTAGTCTATGACTCACCCCCTGGTATCACTAACGGGCATCCTGCTGCTAATCCTAGCCTATGGTACACATCCACCATGATGTGGACTCATGTCCTAGTCCTGTTGGTGACCTGCTTGGAGAGTCTTACCACGATGCAGCTCGTCCCTGCTGACGATCAGGTAAGTATCCGTCAACCTCTCTCACAGCTACTGTGGCATACTGCGTAGCCACACGGGCCCTGCAGGGCCCATCCCGCACTTTCAGCCTAAAAGCCTAGAAAATAGGGCTTACAGGCCCCGGTCGTTTCAGCCTGAAACTGAAAAACGAGGGCCTGCAGGCCCTATTCCGTTTTCAGCCTATTTCTGGGCCTTTCAGGCCCAGAGGCTTTTCAGCCTGAAACGGAGGGCCATTTTCAGGCCCTCATCGTTTCGACCGACCCTAAGACTCAGGCACGAAAGCAGGGTTTCGGGAACARGCTATTYCTGGCYTGTTCCCCACKCCAGCTCGAGCAGGAGCTGCAGCTGCAGCCCCTGCCTCCCTGCGACATTGGCAAGAGCAGCCTCCTGGACTGCTCGCCTGGAGTCAGGAGGCAGACCCGAGTAGTACATAGGATAGTCCCATGCACTTCACGGGTCGGTAGTTGTCAGTAGGCACGAGTAGTCTTCAGGATTCGGCCGCAACACTCAGGAGGAGCGCTGCAGTAGTCTTCAGTGCAAGGCAGTAGTCTTCAGCGTTAGCTGTAGTCTTCGGCACTGGGCGCCCATAGCTGTAGGGCAGTCTTCAGCGCTGGGCGCTAGTAGGTGGTAGTAGTAGCGTTGGAGGGAGATGGCTGGCGGAGGCCAGCTGTACTTACCTGTGGCGCCATAGCTCCAGCTCCATCTTCGAGGTACCTGCATCAAGGCGCCAACTTCACAGGTTAGTACTGGACACCGAGAGAGAAAGAGAGAGTCTTCTTCTTCCTCTTCTAAGTCCACCATCTCTTCTCCCCCTCTCACCACCTGACTTCTCAGACTACGACAGAGAGAGAAAGAGTTGTGACTTGAGTCTTGACGACATTGGATCCAGACTTGACATTTGGGATTCAGACATTTCGACGAGGGACTATTTGGGCCTGTGCCGAAGACTTGGTGTTGACGACATTCCCATCTTCCCCTCCTCTTCGTCTAACCCCCTTCTTCTTCGTCTGTGTATGATAGGGGCTGGCGCAGTCTTCCCGTGTGAAGCGCCAGACCCCATTCACACCAGGTAACGATGATGATGATGTATGTTCAGGGCTGCACTGCAATATTGATTGTTCGGATCACTGGTATCTAAGTCTTCCGCTACGCCATCTTGTACTTTGTATTGAGAGGTCGGTTCTTGTTCTGGTCTGCACGTTACAGTATGCAACAGTTTGGTATCGGAGCGGACCTCTCATTCAGAGGACCCGCTCAATCAAGTAGCCAGCTTGCTTGATCTATTGATCAGTCATTAGTAAATGAAGTAGGCCTTCGTCAAATCTCTGAATTTTTATTTTTTTTCTTTCGCAACAACTATCTGAAAATTTCTGATATTCGCATTTCGTTTTACCTGAAAATTTCTGATATTGGTATTTCGTTTTCACGTAACAAATATCTGAAATTTCTGATAAATCGCATTCCGTTTCGTCTGAAAATTCCCGATAGTAGCATTTCGTTTCTCTGATATTTTCGCATACAGAACTGAAATTTCTGATGTTAGTATTTCGTTCTCTAGGCATATTGGGATAACAATAGAAGTGGTCATATTCTCGGAAACTGGAATTATTCTTTTCTGAAAATCGAATTTCCATTCTATCTCGCAATTTTTTTT